CTGTAGTTGTTGTAAATTAATTCCCATCACAGGTGAAATGTACCATACCACAGGCTGAGCTTTCATGGAGATTATGTGGATCCGTATAAGAGATAGCAATATGTTCCTAAGTTCCTTTGGGAGGCCAAGGAAATCAATCATAAAATGCTATTATTTCCATGTTACAGTGTTTGCACACTATACAAAAATGATATATACCAGTCCTTCCATAACTGAGCCTCTTCAACATTATGTCCTCCTAAATTTTATTTTCCAAGCCATCATCTTTTGGGAGCCAAAAATCTAAGATGCTCCAGAGGTCTGAGCTCTACTGCCTCCCAAGCCAGTCATCAAAGTTGGAACAAGAAACATTATGCTGCAGCCTCACTAGGTCTGTTCTGCATTTGGGCTAATTAACTCTGCTGGGGCTACCTCCTGACCCAGAAGCCATAGAACCATATTCATACAGCATTACACCCAGGCTAATTACCTCTGCCTCTCAACTGATTGCATGCTGACAAGCTGACACTATATGAATACTGAGCAGGGGAGGGGCAGTGAAGCTAATTTGGCTCTAATATTCCAGATCTGTGACAAAATTCACATTTCAAGGACTCTTTGGATAAGGGATCACAGCCCAAAGAGAACCAAGAGCTGCTAATTGTTTTTCTTTTTTCATATGTACACAGTAGGTATTTCCCTTCTGCTTGTGCACATCTGTTACATTTACTCTCCTTTTCCTTCACATATATATTTTTAAAAACATCTAAAAATTCACACATTGATTTTTGTAGCAGTTCCTTTACTAAAAGTCAGACTTGATTATTTCCTTCATTTTCAAGATCATATTGATCATATTGGTTAGAACTCAGCAAAGTCATTTATAAATGTCTCTGAAGCTCTCACCTGAATTGCAGCTCTCTGGTCAGTTCAAAGCTGCAGACCATATTGTTTTATAGTTATGTCATCAATTATCTTGTGCATTAGAATAGTCAGAAAGCCTTGCTGGCAATAGAAACTAAACACATAGAAATTGCACTTTATTTTTTATAGATTAAAAGAGGCTTTCAACATAGAAGGTTCTTTCTTCCCTTTCCCCTCTCATAGAATTATACCAAAGGTGGTAAAGTTTACTAGAACCCTCTGCATGAAACTCAGCCAATCAGATTGCAAATCTTGATTGGACTGTATTATCTTATATGGTAAGCAGCTGTAGTGTTCATCACAGTTCATGTTTGGGGTTGTATTAACCACATTGTTCTGCAACAGAAAATCAGTTTACATAAAGGTAACCTCAAAAAAAATTCATACAGTCCTTCAAATGTGCTAAAAGCCCTTATCTGACAAGCTAATTGGGGCCTATGCTCCAGGGGTCATTCCGTGATTTATGGCAACTCACTTAGCTGAGAATGAATGCTAGGGGGCCTCTACTACTGATTTGCAATTGATAATTCATCCAGCAGTAAAAAAAAAGTACCATGTTGCCTAATACTTGCACAAATGAAAAGGTGATACTTGTTCACTTCAATAAACATGAAGACTTTCCAGTAAAACACCAGGAAAGGGAAGGGTCCCTAGAAGCCCACTCTCTAGCACTTGGAGCTGAGGTATCCCTCATCACATTCTTAAATATAAGAGCTGTAGAACTCACCCGGATTGTGTTCTAGGGTAGGGATGTCCAACCTGCAGGACACATATCACAAGTGGCATGAGCAGCCTCTGTGTGTGACATGTAACAAATTGAGGAAGAAACAGGTAGCATGGCAGTAGATAGGGCAGGGAGAAGGACATAGTGTCAGGTAGGGTAGGGAGCAGAAAGTAGAGCAGCAGATGGGGCAGTGGAAGGGAATAGGATTGGTAGTCAGGGGAAGTGTGGGGCTAATTTGTGGCACACCTACAAAAAAGGTTGGCCCCCAATTACTCTAGGGCATATATAGAAATACCTATTTCCAGGCTTAGAGATACTGACAGATCAGCAGGCTTAATGGCCCTAAGTGGCTGAGTATATAAAGAACGGGGCTGGTGAGAGGGGGAAATAAGGGTACAGTTGTACTGGGCCCTCCTAAATCAGATTTCATGTTTCCAAAAATAGGAGGTCACCTTCCACAAGGATGTACTAGGCCCCCAAATTTGTCTTACAGTGCCTGATGGAGATACAAGCTTTGAAATCTCTTTTCTATGAGCTAGCCTGCTCTAGACCCAGTTCTTTGTTTCCTTTTGGCCATGCACAGGGAGCCAGCCTTTCTCCAGATATGCAAGTCATTCTCCTGCACATGGTGTCTATGGTCTTCTGGGGCTCACAGCACTGCAGGCATTTTCCTCTAACCTATTTGCTTAGAAAGATGTACTTGGGTCCCATTTCTGGTAGCTTTACTCATGTGAGAAAACTCCTATTGAACTGCAATACACTTTATAATATATTCTGTAAGAATAAGCAAGTATTACATTCTACAGGACTGCAGCTCCAAGAATAACCGTAAAGGTTTGAAACTCCAAAGAAAGAAGTAGGTTTTCTTCCTGCTCAAAGGAGATGACAAGAACTAGGGAACAGTCTAAATATTGAGTTTTTTGCGCTTGTATTTTCTAGTCCTTTGTTACTGTGCCTCAGGGACCACAAAATGGAAAGAATTCATTAGGCTTTTCCTGGGCTGCTGCACTGGCTCAAGGAACTTTGAATCCCATGATGCCAATTAAGTTACTTCTGGTTTTATCAATTAAAATGGTAATATTGCTACAGAATTATCTGGGTCAGCAGCCAGGTCTAGTGAATCAGTAGCTTGTCAATGTTGTTTTCAAAACTAGCAACTTCACATACAAACACGCACATGCATATCCCATGCTATACATTATTACCAATGGAAAACCTGACAAGGCAGAATGAAATGCATTTCTTTCCCTTGAGGCATGAAAAGAAACTGCACAGGGCTCTAATTCTGATGTTTGAAGATGACCTTCAGATTTGTTTAATTCTGGGGCTAGAGTTGATGTTTCTGCTACATTTCCTGTTCAGTCAATTGATGCATTTCTATTCAGTTTTTATCACCTGGAAGGACCAGTTAGAAAGAGGTCTTCCATTTGGAGAGAGTGTAGCTGGAAATGGTAGATTGGCACTATAAAGAAGAACCAAGGATTAATCCTAGTTATGTCTTAAAATAACATTAGAGAACATTTGCATAGATTACAGTTTAGTTCATCTGTATGTGTTGTGGTGTCAGGCTGTTTCTAATTATTTTCCATACTAATTTTCACTGGTTTTTCATTTTCTCTTTTCATTAGAGGCATCTCAGGTCAAATTCTTTTTTCATTTACAATAGTGTAAGTGTGGAATAATTTCACTGGGCTCAAATGAATGACTCTAGATTTCCACTAGTGATTCTGAGAACAGAATCTGACCCCTTTTCATTAGCCGTAACCCAGCTGTTCTTTTTCATTTTCAAACTAATCTGAATCTAGTTTAGGGGAAGAAACCTACAAAGTTGGAACAAAGTTTTCTTATTAATAAAAGCACCTCCTTTCAAAAGGCCAGAGCTTCCTGCTTTTTCTGACTTTTCCTGACTAAGTCTTATATGGAGGGAGTGTTTGTGTTTGGGGGGGGGAGGGGAAGTGGGGAAGATTGCGTTGAGAAGCCTTGAGATTTAAATTAACTGTCAAACACAGTTCAGCACTGGACACCTCAGAAGCACATTTAACTCTAGAAGAGAAGAGAAGGAAACCTGCTGCTTTTGTAGTATGTCCTCCTAAGAGTGATCCCCTTGTAAGTCTTTATGTAATGCCCTACCAATGACTTTCCATTCTCACATTTTTTAGATGGAATAGCTATGGCACAAAATATTCTTTAGGTAATCCAGCCCTAAATTAGGTTCACTAATCCCAACATAATATCATAATATAACAACAGTGGTTCCCAGAACAGATTATCTGTATTATATTGACAACATAATAGTAAAACATTGAGTATTTTGAATCTACAAATTACTTATAGATAATGTTTACTTTCAGGATAGAGAGAATAAAAAAAATGGGTTTTGTCAGAACACAGCTTCTCACATTCATATTAAAAGCCATTAAAGTTATAAATCGCTTTTGGCCTCTGCCTTAGTGAAAATGTAAAATGTAACTAATTTTCTTCGTTCATCCTTCTAGTCACCTTAAATGCACTTGGACTATTCACTGTGTGATTCAGCACCCTTTGAAGGTGAACTGCAAATGCATTCAGTATCTTTGGAGAAGAAATGACATATAAAAACATTTATTTACACCCACATTTTCAAAAGTGACTAATCATTTGTGGGGAGGGGTGGTAAGAAAGGGCTCCATTTTGGTGCCCAAGTTGAGACACTGTAAAAGGCAGTAATTTCCAGAAAGTGCTGAGGAGTCTCACCGTCACAAAATGTAGAGTTTATAAATGTCTTTCATTCCAGAGCACATTTCAGATGCACAGGAATCATTTTACTCATCAGTTGGGTTGCCTGTCCACCTCCCAGCTCCATGCTGCAAACCCCCTCCTGGCACCGGCAGCGCCGCACTTGCTCCTAGGCAATACCACCCACTAGAAATCAGGAGGGTGGAAAGTTCATCCACACAGCAGGACTGGTAGGGGAATGGGGGTGGGAAAGGTGCATCCTGGGATGCTGGAGGACTACAGATTGTTTGTTTTACCTTGGTTGAGCAAACTGAAGTTATACTATCACGAGCTGGGTAGCACAGTCTAGAGTTAACCCTTGCCTGAAGTAGCAAATCTTTGAAACCCTCAGAGGGCACTTGGCACAAGGTAACAAGCTTTAACATGTGGACACTTGTTCTGTAATTTCCTTAATATGGTCTGAGTGTAATGTGTAACTTCACCATGTGTCATGTACCCTTTCTCTCCAACTCCCTAAATAACCTACTTTTATTTTTTAGAACCAATTAGAATTTAGCATTAAAGTCTGAAATTACAGGATATTTTAATAAGTTGTTCTTGTTTTATTGTTGTCCCTTGCATATTTTAAAGAGGCTTTTTGTTTTTGTTGCTCTTGTAGCGTCGTCCAAGCAGATGGCCTGCCATGAAGTTTCGAAGAGGCTCTGGACACCCTGCCTATGCTGAAGTGGAACCAGTTGGAGAAAAAGAAGGCTTCATTGTATCAGAGCAATGCTAAAATTTCTAGGACAGAGCACCAGTACTGGCCTACAGGTGTAAGACATTTACATTGCCTCTCTTTAAAGAAAAGGACCACTAGACTTCTCTAGCCTGGTAGAAAGACGTTTTTTGGATAAGCCTTTTCCAAGAAGAAAAAATAATCTATGATACCAGATTCCACTGCACAGAAGGTTCCCATAGTGGAATGAGGTACAGTAGTTCATTCAGAACTTGCTGAGTGGCACCCTTGGTATCAGAACTATGGCACAGCTGCTGTTCTATTGGCTTAGGCATGGGGTTGCATAGGAAACCAGATAATACAATAAAGCTTTTGGTGCACAAGGGTGTGACCCTTTTGTTCAAGTGTTCTTTGGTGTCTCAAAAATAAACTGAGTTACAAATGAGCAGCCCTTTCATACAAAGAGCAATGATTCCTGTTCACAAGGTAGCTGAGAAAAATGAATTCAATGCAGGTTAAAAAAAAGCAATTTTCTATACTTCTACAAGTGAATGTGGAAATACAGTTTTGATTTTTCAGTGCTAAACTAGCATAACCAAGTGCGTGACTGAGTTACAGTACGTTGTATGTTCTTTTCAAGAGTAGTAGAATGTTTCTTGTACTTTGTTGGTTAATATCCTTTAAAAAGTCATGAAAAAGAATCTTAATGTTAACACAAGCTGGTAAGAAACAAAATAACAAGGAGTTTTCACTATGGTGAAATTAGGCTTTCTTATCGGAGTTCACGGTGAAATTGGGCTAATTTTCAGTTTCAATATTCACTAAAAATTAAGCATTGGGTTTGTTTGAAGGGATATTGCTTGCATTTTCATGAAGAGGGTTGAAATGAAGGCAACAGATATTTTGGCTGATGCTGGAGGAAATCAACATGGAATATTTCTCAGGCAATGCGATGAGAAAATGTTGAGATTTTAAACACATAGGTTTTTATCCTTTGCCATTTCATTGCAAGTCTTTCCTGAGAAGCATTGCAAGAGATACAAAATCAAAGTCTTATTACAGAACCCTGCTGATTCATACAGTGATTTTGTTTAATGCACATAGTAGTTGCGTAAATATATATATAAATATATTTTTTTTATAGCTAACACAAGGCAGGCTCTTGTGACTGTTAAGACTGCATTTTTGTCATCCAGACGAAGGAAACGGATTGCATTACTGCATATTTCCACTGAGTTGTAAAATAATTCTTCATATTAGAATATTTTTATGTTGCCTAGGGAAGGTGGTTGGTTTAGTTGCAGTGCTATCACTTTTCTGCCTAGGGAACCATCTTTTCTTTAATATATCAACCCTTTTCTTCCCTGACCAGGGAAAGACAAGGTTATAAATTCCCCAGTGAAAAACAGAGATATCCATTTGGGTGGAAGATCTGAGGCCCAGATCTTCAGGGGAAGTTAGGTACTTAACACCTGGAGGATCTGTGCCTAGCCTACTCAAATTTTAAATTCAGGTATTGTATGTACATTTCATTGTGGTCTTTGACTATCAGATCTTTTACATACTGTACAAACAGTCTCATTTGAATCATTCTTATGCATAGTATTCAACATTTGCAGTTTCAGGTCTCAAGTAGTTTAGACACCTTGTAGGTACCACCTTAAAAATGCAGTTATTTACATTTCCTGTTGATGCTTGTATGGTCTAAATTTGATTACTTATTTCTGTTTTAAAAATAACATGATTTCTACTTGTTATTTTCTTCAGTAAATAATACAATACTGTATTTTCTGTATTCATTCTTTATTCTGTGTAATACATTTTTTGTCTGCTTTACAGCATCCCTTGTGAGATTTGAAATGTTCAAAACATAGCTAGAATTAATTTGAAGCTACTAACCACCATGTCTTGAGGTCTGGTGAAATACCTGCAGCAATCACTCTTCAATTTGTATGGCTCTATCAATCCCTGTTTCTAATAGGGAGGGATTAAATTGCAGGCTGGTAATTCAGATAGCAATAACCAAATGTATGCACATATATATCTGATTACACTTATTTTTAAAAAGATGACGGTGCACAGAATTTAAAAAAAAACTTTGGCAGTCTGAGGCTTGCTATCAGTTTCTCTGGGTTATTCAAGGTAGACTGAAAATTTAGGTTTGATTGCTTTAATAAATAGGATTGATTCGTCTAATAAAACAATTAAAGAATTTTTGCTTGGAATTTTTGAAGCATGGTCTGCTGTCCCTTTGCCAATTAAAATGCATTTTATTCTACAGCACATTCAATCAGTATATAAATAGCATGAATTTTACAGAAAGGAATCTGTATAATATTGCAATATATTTGATTGATATTAATGCTCACACAAGGAAGGGCTACTCATTATGGGTTTGCAAGTTCAGGCCTTGGCTTTGAGAGAGGAAAAAACTGAATCCAATCATACACAATTGATGTAATGCATAGAACCAATTGGTAAGTTAAGTGCTTAAATGAGACATTTGGTAGAATTGAAGAACCTAAGTCATAGAAAGCAATCCAGATCAACTCTACTTCACCTTCTTGGGCACCTCCATTTGACCTTAAAACTTCCCTAGGCACTTAAACTTCAGCTCCTGAACATGCTAAGATACCATCCAGTTCAAAAGACTAAATACTGCATAAGTGCCACTGTGATCCAGGTAGAAGGAACCTAAATTACTAAATGACCAATCCATTAGGCACCCATAAAGTACAGCTAACTCAGGCCAGCAGAACTGAGTCAGTCACTCTTACTAGAAAACACAGTAGCTGTGTTGCCCTTTCCTTTAGTTAAAGGAAGTCAGAGACTTGGGTTATCCCAGTCTCAGGGTTATAAACACATCTCTTGCCTCCTAGGAGGGTACCTTAACCCCCAAGTTATTAGAAACAGTCAGGTGGGAAGCATCCCTCCCCCATTCTTTCTGCTGAAAATAGGCCATTTGACATGCAAGAGTACAAGGGTCATGGGGGCCAGGAGGAGAGGAAACAGGAGGGAACATGCATGACTGCAGCCCAGTGACGAGAGCACTTCGTGGGATGGGGACACCAAGGTTCCAATCCCCGCGCCCAGGACTGCTTATGCTTTTTACTTTAGGCAGTCTTTGGCTTTAAAAACCAAAAATAATCCTAGTAGCCAGCTGGCAGCCTTTATCATGGAACTACAGCCATTCTCCTGCTTCCTCGCTGTCTTTCATGCATCTTGGGCTGGGCTGTAGGCCACGGGGAGTAAAGTGTAGCACACATTCTTTTAGCCTTTGCAACTCTAAATGGGGGGGAGGGGGGGGGG